CAGGCCTGACGGGCTAGCCAGGTCTTGAGGGCTGTGCGGAAGGTCTGGACGGTGGTGAGGGTGCGTATCTCCACGGGGGAGTTCGTTCCACAGGGTCGGAGCTGCCACCGAGAAGGCTCTCCTCCGCGTGGTTGGCAGTCGGCACTGACTGGCAGATGGAACTCGGAGGAGGCCTAATCTATGCGATCTAATTGGTCGCAGGCCCCTCCGGTTGCTGCTCCCAAGCAAACCGTATTTCCTGCAGCTGCTCCAGTGCAGCCCTCTTGCTCCTTTGTGCCGCTGCCGTTGTTTGCAGTCAGCCTGTGCGAGGTCTTCCTGCAGCAGCTAAGCAGGGGGGCCCTGTGTTTCTTCAGCTCCTCCTTTGCAGATGCCGCTCTCCTCAATTTCCTCTTAAGGTCTTTGCCTCTCTGGCTCTTTCCTCAGCCCTTCCTCCTCCTCCTCCTCCTCTTAGCCACTGCCCGGTCTTGCTGTGATCCCTTTGCCCGTTATTCCTTCTTCTTCTCCTTCTTCGTGCCCTGGCTTTCTCTTCCGGAGCCTCTGTCCCAATCTCCCACGTTTGGTTTCCTTGTAGGCCGTACGGTCTTTCCGGTACTCGGTCCACGTGGGTAGATGGCAAAGGGGGCCCCTCCGTGAAGCAGGTCGCCTGTTCAGCTGTCCAAGTGGCCTTAACTACCACAAACGTCTCTTCATATTGTATCTTGAGTCTGTTATTTCCCCATGTCCCCCCCCCTTCCCCACTGCCTCTTTTTTTGGCTAAATACTTAATCCTTTTAACTGCTCCACCTAGGAGTTAATGTCCAGTCCCGCTTGGAACGTAGAAAAAGAGGGTTGAAGGGAACCTTGGGGGTCTTCTAGTACGACCCCCTTGCCCATGGCAGAAGACCCTAAAAAACCATTCCTGACAAATGGCTGTCCGGGCTCTTCTGGAAAACCTCCGGGGCCCACAACCTCTCTCCAATTTGTTCCAGTTTGCTGATAAGGTTTTTTCCAATTGCAAAACTGGACACAGTATTCCAAATGGGACCTGACCAAAGCAGAGTGGGGTAATTGCCCGAATAGGATGTTAATACATCCTAAAATTGCCTTTTTTAAAAGCAAAAAATCTTTTTTTTAGCAAAAAAAAAAAAAGCATGTTTGCAACTAATTCATGCTTTCATCAAAATTAGAAAGACTGGAAAAATAAAATGATTTTTTTTATCAGTTGCCTATTCTAGTCTTACTGTTCAATTTTTAGAAGGTTAAAAAAAATGAACGATAAGTGCAAATAAGTGTAAAGATAGTTAGACTGAAGAGAGCTCGGGCTCTTTCTACTTCTGCTACGGCAGCTTGGAAGTACATTTGTCCCCCAGGTTCTCTCAAAAAGAAGAGAGAGGCTTCTTTTTAGAGTTTCCTGAAAGAATTTCCTTTTCCAATGAAGGCAGTTTTTGCATCCACGTCCTCTTACACCTAATGGCTTCTCCCTTGCCCACGATCCAGTTCTTGGGATCCACCTCCTGGAAGTCAGGACGGATCCATGAACCACAGCAGCTGCTTCCGGAAGCCTTGACTCCCCTTGGTCCTGTTTCCCTCCCTCCTCTGCCCAAGGCCTTCCCCCTGAGGGTCCCCTCCTTTTCGGCCTCCCCGACTTCCTCTAGCCAGGAGCCCAGCGCACACCTCCGGCTTTTTTTCACCCCGGAGAACCCCAGCTTCACAACACGGCCCCTCATTGAAAGGTCCCAGCAGAAAAGGCCGGGCTCCTGGCAAGAGCCTCGGAGAAGGAATTGGGCTTGGCCGGCTGCTGTTTGCGGGGGAAACATTTTGAAACCTCTTTCCTATCAGCTCCCTTTCTCCACTGATCAAGAAAGAGGACATGGGGTTCATGATGAGCAGACCCACAAAACCCTCCCCCTCCCCCTTTTGGGTGAGGGGCGTTTGGTTTCCCCCAGTGTCTTTGTGTGTGTGTGTGTGGAGGAGGTTCTCTTGAAGCTAGCCAGCCGTACGTCCTCTCAGCCTGAGCTTTGGTTTTGAGGACATAGTGTGATAGCTTATTATAGCTGAAATCCCGTCCTTTGGCCGAGGAGTTTCCTCCTCCTCCTCCTCCTCCTCCTCCTCCTCCTCCCCCCAGGGTGGAGCTGAGCTGTGTTGCTGCTGTTGGCCCTGCTTTCTTGAGGAGGAGAGGACTTAATTCTTTCCTGTCCTATCAGGTCCCCCCTTTGCTGACCAGAAGGATTCCTCCTGGTAAGTTCACATTTCAGTTTCCCCTTTTAATTTCATCAGCTCCAGGGTTCTGCTAAGAGATTACGGAGCTGAGAGGTAAATACTGTGGCTCTTGCGTCTTCAATAGTGTCATTTTTCATTATTTTACAGTCTCATTATCAGAAGTTTGCAATCAATTTAGGACTATCTTCCCCCTTGACCTGGTCTTGGCCTTGTTCACCCCTGGAACCTCAGGGAGAGCTCCAGCTATGTGGGGGGGGGGAGATTCTGCCTGAACCTAATTGGGGGGTGGGGGGTGGGGAGGGCGCTTACTTTGGTCCTCCTGGCCACGAGGCCGAAGGAAGAAGCAGCAGCAGCAGCTCCACTTGTCCAGCTGCTTTGCCTCCAGCTGAGAGGAAGCCAGGCAGGGGGCTACTTCTGAGGCTGGGCACCCAGCAGGAGCAGAGTCTGTAGTTGCCAGGGGTCCCCCCCCCCCAACCAACTTTGAAGAGGAAGGGGATTCCTCCCCCCCCCCCCTTTCCCCAACCTGGTAGTAGACCTGTGAAACACACACACACACACACACACACACAGAGAGAGGTCGTTGCTGCCTCTGCCTAGGCCCCTGGTTGGTGGATGTTTAAAATGCCACAATTCAGCACTCCTCCTAACCCTCCTTCCTTGCATCTCTACTGGCATCTGACTCGGCTAATGCTGAACACCGAAAACATTTATATCTCACCTTTCCATTCTTCTATTGTGTGCTCTCTTTCGTCTAATTGCTTGTCTGGTATCTTTGGAGGAGGCTGGGAACAGAAGAAAGGCACAACAACTTAGCTGAAGTTGAACGAAAGAACAGATGCAGCCAGTTTAAGAACAGGCATGCAGTAAGCCCAGCTCAATAGCCTCAAGTGAGAGGCCCCACAGGGCAATTCTATGCCATTCAACCAGCAATCCTTTAGAAAGACCAAGATGTGGGGGGTGTGGGGGGTGGGGGGGGTGGGGGGGTGGTTAGCAAGCAAACACACACCATTTG